TAGCACTAATTCTGATACAGGATGGTATGTGTTGGCATCACTATTAGCGGGCACTTGCTAATAGTAACATTAATGTTTCCACCATAAACACATAATCTATCAAAGACCTCACTGCTTGCACAGCAGGCGTCTACACCATCCCCTGTGGATTCTGTCCCAAGAAATATGTAGGCAAGACAGGTTCCACGGGGCATTTGATGAACTGGGATAAGGCACAACTCGTTCTCACCGAGCCAGACGCCGACGGTGCCTAGAAGCCTCACTAATCGCCGTCACCGACACAACAGAACGTAACACTGGAAACCACAGAATTTCTAAAACATTAGAATACATGATACTCAAGCAGGCTAAGCACCACCAACAACACAGGAGTCACATGATCTCATCGTCTACCCTTCCTCATCCCAACATGGCATTCTTCAGGTCACCATGTGTCACTCACACTTCACTCTCCGCCTATATATAAAGTCTTTCTACCTCTCTATGTTAGAAGTGATCAAGGTCCCAGCTTACGTGTCTTTCTAAACCAAGTAGTAGTAGTACCAGTGGTGGTAGTAGTAGTTGTACTTATGGCGGTGATAGTAGTAGTTGTAGTACTTGTGGTAATAATAATAATAATAGTAGTAGTAGTAGAAGGAGCAGCAGCAGCAGCAATGTGATGGCGGTGTTTATTGTTTTGGGGAGGATTCTTGCTGATACTTCAGAGATGATGAAGCTGCCTTTATTGTGTTTGTGTTAGAAATAGTCATTAATGATGATTCAAGGCATTTAAGTCTGCGGAAATTCGGTTCTTTGATCACTAGGCAGGCTTTCTATTAGTAAGGTAGGACTTGATGAATTCAAGTGCATGGCCTCTTATACCGTAATGATCAAGATTGAGGAGTAGGATGCTGTGATCTGCTGTATCAAAAGCTTTCTTAAAGTCAATAAAAAGTCCAAGTGGGTATTCATTGTTTTCCAGTGCTGTGTAAAGTAGGTCTAGCATTTTTATTATTGCATCATTTGTGCTTTTGTTTCCCCTGAAGTCAAACTGGCAGCGGTTGAGGATGCTTTGTGATGTTATGAAGGAGTATAACCTTTTTTGTATGAGCTGAATTCTGGTGGCGTTCGCAGGCGTTATTCAAGTTATCGTTCCTGCATGCATTGTGTTCATTGAGATGTGTTTCGAGGTTTCTTGCTGTTTCACCTGCGCATATTCTGTCACATTCTCTACAGGATACAGTATAAATCCCTGCATTGACTGGTTCAAGGTGCTTGAATTTTACCCTAGTTAGATCTTTTATAGAGGTGCTGGTTGCGATGGTGTTACTTTGTGTGAGTGCTTTAGAGATGCACAGTGCAACCTGGTTGTTGGGAAGAATTATAACTTTGTTAGGAGTGGTGTTGGTGCGTGGAGAATTGATGATCTAAAAGAGCTCTTTTCTTGCAGTCTTTGTTGAAAAAGGGAAGGAAATGTAGACGAGTGAAGGTTTGGTGTATGTAGAGTTGCTACTAGTATTATTACTACGATTGTATTATGTCTTGCACCTCACTATAATATCTATATATGCAATCTGTGTTCCTGTATTGTTTGTGATGGCTTGACAAGCTCCTGGAGAGCCAAACATTGCCACAATAAAATGTCGCAGTGTATTGTCGAGACGATTTCTGTAGAAAAGGGAATAATGTTTGTTTTTACAAGTACATGATACAACTTATACAGACCTAGCTGACTTCAGTGATATACTATATAGAAAGCCTCGTGTTTTGCAGAGCATTTCGTGCAATTTAGGTTAATTTTGTCCCAGGATGCGACCCCACACCAGTCGGCTAACACCCAAGTACCTACTTGCTGCTGCTATATGAACGGAGACAACAGGTGTCTTAAGGAAACACATCCTAATGTGTCCACCCGTACCGGGGATCGAACCACGGACCTCAGTGTGTGAGCTGAATGTGCTACAAATCGATTTACGGGAAACCGGTTTGCTGCATAACCCTGTATAACTTTTGAGCTGAGTGTGCTACCAACTGAGCTACGAGACACCAGTGTGCTGCATAGCCCTGTATAACTTGTTGCTCGTCTCTGGAACCGACAGAACCTACCACTTTGTAGGGATGTTGGCCATATAGTCACCGTGAGACAACTCAAAATAGCTGCATCTGCTCGTTTATTTTCTGGGATCTAGTTATGTTCCCGTCACCAACAAAACTGCATGTCTTTAAATATCCTTTATCTTTTTTATTATTGCATTTTAATATTTACTAAAGTATAATAATAATAATACTTTATTTCGGCATAATATATGTTTGTACAAAGGAATATAATATTTTGGTGTACATGCCTAAAGCCCTTCATATGCAAAGCATTTTGGGCAGACTTAAAACTAACTTAAAATTAATAAGGCAATAACAGTACATATGGTCATTAGGTGAGTTACAATGAATACAAGAGAATTGAATATTATATTAGGTCATGCTATACGGCTTTAATAAGTTTTGTAGGGAAGAATTACACTTTTGATTATTAACATTAGGTGGACACAAGAGTGATTAACATTTGAGATGGATACAGATATTGACAGTAAGTATATATTGATTATAATGTGGATAAATTAGACACGTGTGCAACTCTTGGGTATCTTTATTGAGGAAACGTTTCGCCACACGTTTCCTCAATAAAGATACCCAAGAGTTGCGCATGTGTCTAATTTATCAACGTGTCGGTTCTCTGAACCATTCATCTACAATCATTGAATATGTTTTACCTATGTTCATGATATTGAACAAATACATGTATAGTTTTTACATATGTATTTATGATGGGTTGCAATAGGTTAGAGAGATAATGCTAGCTAAGTCAGTGGTTTTGGAGATTTCTGGCAGAGAGCTCCAGATTTTGGCCTTTTATGTACATTGAGATTTTGAAAAGATTTAGCCTGATACGGAGAATCTCAGAGTTTTTTGTGCCTAGTATTGTGTCTGAGTTCTACTGCAGCTACCGAGATAGCACTTCAGGTCAGGATTTATGTTAGAATTGATTGTTCTAAATGTAGCTTGCACAATAGTATGAGCGAATGTTTTGTATAGTGAGCAGGTTTAGGTCTTAGAAGAGTAGGGGGAGGGGGGGAAGGTGTGTTGTCTAGCAGTGGGTTGTGTGATCATTCGCACTGCAACTTTTTGTTGGGTTATTATTGGTTTTAGGTGATTTGTCGTTGTGGAACCCCAGGTAAAAAATAGCATGGGTGAGGTAAGGGTAGATCTGTGAATGGTATTGTGTAAGCAGTGCTGTTTGTGGTACATAGTAACGCATCACTGAGAGGATGCCAACTGTTTTAGATACTTTTTTTTTGTTATATGTTGGATATGGGTGTTGAATTTCATGTTGCTGTCAAGATACAGAACCAGGAATTTGCGCTCATTACGTTTAGCAATAAGTGTGTTGTTAAGCATAATGTTTAGTTGGACCTCACTTTCTCTACTCCCCATCATAATGTAAAAGGTTTTGTCTACATTAAGTGTAAGTTTATTGACAGTCATCAGGTTGCTATTGTTGCGATCTCTTCGTTAACAATTGTGTTGAGTGAGGCTAGATTTGTGTGGGAGACAAAAGTAGTGTCGTCAGCTAAAAGAATAAGCGTAAGTTGTTGCGATACACTTGGAAGATCGTGGATGTATAAAAGGAAAAGGGGGAGGGGCAAGAACGCTTCTCTGTGGTACACCAGTGTCCAGGGGTCTTGTTGAGAGGGTTGCATCCTTGACAGAGGCGTATTGCTTTCTATTAGTAAGGTAGGTCTTGATGAATTTAAGTGCATGGCCTCTTGTACCGTAATGATCAAGATTGAGGAGTAGGATGCTGTGATCTGCTGTATCAAAAGCTTTCTTAAAGTCAATAAAAAGTCCAAGTGGGTATTCATTGTTTTCAAGTGCTGTGTAAAGTAGGTCTAGCATTTTTATTATTGCATCATTTGTGCTTTTGTATCTCCTGAAGCCAAACTGGCAGCGGTTGAGGATGCTTTGTGAAGTTATGAAGGAGTATAACCTTTTATGTATAATCTCAAAGATTTTGGAAAGTAAAGGCAAGTTTGATATTGGCCTATAATTGTTTACATATGTTGGGTCACCACCTTTGTGTATTGGTGTTATCCTTGCTAGTTTGAGTGATGCCGGGAAAGTGTTGGTTTCTAGTGATTTGTTGAAGAGTAATGCAATGGTGGGTGAAAGGATTTGAGCCGCTTGTTTGTTTAGTAGTGGAGGTACTCAGGTTACATTTCCTGATTTTTTTTTAGAGAGTTAATAATTATGGCAACCTCAGTGGGATGTGTTGGTGTAAGATAGAGGGATGTTGGGAAGTTTCCTTTTAGATAATCATTAGCTCAGGCATTGATAATTGAAATTTTGCTGGTGAGATTTGATCCTATGGTTGAGAAGAAATCATTCAACTTGTTAGCTGTATCTATAGGCTGGAGTTTCGGTTCTTTTGGTTTAGTTAGTACAATATTACTAGCTCTGTTCGGTTTGTGTCGCCCAGGATCTGAGAGTCTCTCCAGGTCTTTTTTACATCTCTCGTTTCAGTGAATCTATTAGAATAGTATAGTTACTTGGACTTTCTGATTAATTTGGTGATGACTGACGTATAATGTTTGATAAATTCTTTAGTTATTAAGCTCCTTTTATATTGTTTCTCATATTGATGTTTCATATCTTAGGATGCTGTTAGTAAACCATGGACAGCTTAGTTCTTTTATTGGTGATCTGTTTAGTTTTTATGGGACAATGTTTGTTATATAGTCTATGAATTTTGTTTTGAAGTATCTCTGCCCATTCATCGATACCAACGGCATTGGAAAATTCTGTAGGTCAGTCAACTGAATTTAGTTCTGCAGTGAAGTTACTTGTTGAAGCCTCATCATGGAGTCGAAAGGACTAATGCATAGATGTAAAAATAGTAAGGTTTGTATAAATCTTCTGAACATATGTAATCGCAGTTTGAAGAATTTATTTTGCATTATGACCGGCAGATGTGTGTGTCCCGGCGGCTCGTTGGGTCCACGTTGCAAAGTGGTAACTCGTACCTTCTTTGGGTCAGGCTGGGCCTGGCTGCCTCCGCTCTCGCCTTGTCTCCCAGCCACCATCTCTCTGCGTCTCCTCACCACCCGCCCACACGCACTCATCCTTTACTCAGGACCCCTTGCAACCACTTCCAACCACCCACGCTACGCGCCCACGCCCATGCTGGCTCTCCAGCTCGTTGACGGAAGACCCCAAGTGTTGGTGGAAGGCGGGAGAGGGCCAGTCAAGTTAATAGTGAATGCCACACTCAACACAGGCACCTGGCACACACTCCACCTTCACCTCACCCACCAGGTACTGCCTGCGTGTTTCGTCTTAATATTTTTAATTTAATTATTATTAATAAGTACTGTTTTGCATTATTATTTTATTATTATTAATTATATTATTATATCGACTCACGAAATCGTAATAATGCGATCGCAAACAAACCACGAAACGTGTTTCTACCCATGGCTAGTGAGTCGTAAAACTCCAGGCCAAGGCGTAAACCACTCGGCCAACTGGCCGAGTGGTTTACGCCCTGGCCTGGAGTTTTATATTATTATTACTATTAGTAGTAATAATAACGGTAGCAGGAATAGTAGCATGATTATTATTATTATTATTCTTAGTAGTAGTAGTAATAGTAATCAGGATCATTCAGCGCCGAGGGAATGGGATGCAATCAGATTTTATTTGATGAAGGGAGTAGCTCCAGGTCTTTGGACTAAGAGCTCTTCTCTAACATCAAGTATCCATCCCCAGTCCCTTTAAGGTCGAAATTCAATAGAAGCTCACACTTTCTTGAAAAGATAATGCAATTTCTAACAATATAAAGCAGTTTGTTAAGACAATGCAATTGCTGGTAAGTTAATGTAATTTCTGCTAAGATATTGCAATTTGTACTAAGATAACACAATTTCTGCCAAGATAATACAAAGTCTGCCAAGATAATGAAGTATCTGCTAAGTTAAGACCTAACTCATATTGTAACAGTAAAAAACACTATATTTAAAAAGCGATAAAGGTTTGTGTATATAAAATTACTTGAGTGTTTGGGAACTTCATGACTGGGACGAAGTTTACAGATATGGTGTAAAGTTCAGTCACGGAAAGAGAGGAATAGAACAAGAATAAACTGTCTGCTGGTTATATTACACGTCACAGCATGACTGGCTACATATCTCAGGTAAACTGTTAGCATGGGTGGAAATTTTCAGTAGGGCGTCAAGTATTCCATTATCTATGGAGGTGTAAAAGATTTCGTAGCAGAGGGACTGGACTGGTCAGTAAGATATGATGTTAAGGCAATGGTATTTATAGAGAAGATGTCTGGTCCACCCGGGACTTTAACAAACCTTGCACTGATGGTCTCTGGTGGACGATACGTCTTCTCAATAAATGCCATAGATCGTATATCGTTTTATTCATATACTTGTCGGTATATTTTACCATTGATATACAAACAATAATAGTAATAAAGATAATATAATCAAACTAAACACTAAACCCAAAGGAGTTATACTGCACTTCAGGATGGAGAAAGAATATGTAAAGGTCAGAGACCAGATGGTGTAATAAGTTAATTTCCGATAAAAAGTCAAAGAGGGAGTCTGCGCCAAAAGTGAGACGTCCAGCGTGGAGGTCATGTAGAGTATGTGCGTTAAGGTAGTGAAGACGTCGGCACTAAATTCTTCAGCCCATTGATAGACATCACACTCTGTTAAGAGAAGTTCAACTGACAACGTAACTTGGCAATCTGCACAGCGATGCTGTGCAGATTCCCAAGAGACGTGTGTGTCCGATACGTAGACGATAAAGTGTGATCTCCCAAACAAGACAGCGATCGTAAGAAGATGGTCAGAAATCCAAACACGGTTTAATAGAAGTTAATTTATTCTGAGCTAACTTAGACCACTGTTAATGCCAACGGTTGCAATGTTGTCTAGAGATTACTTCATAATAAATAAGAAAGGATTACAGGTCATGAACGCTTTCTCGGTGTCCCAAACATCCAGGTGTCCAGGGACCCAGCAGAAAATTATGTCTTTGTGTCTACTAGAAATGTGACTTAACCAATTTCTGGATAACCTGTAAAGCACTATAGGAGTCTGAAACTACTACAGATATTGAGGCTGCAATACCTATGATGGCCACCAGAACTACTTACAATCGGCTGTGAAAATGCTAGCTGAATCTAATAAATGACCTCGCATAACTGTCCGGAAAAATTGCTGCACACCCGAAACCTTCAGAGGATTTAGAGCCATCAGTGTAGACGGCAATGGCACGAAAATGAAACTGGAAGTGATTAAGAAAGAGTGGGCGTGAAGTTATAGTAATAATTGACCTTTTGCATATGGAAGTAAGGAAGAACAGGCACGAATCATCGGAACTTCCCAAAGGAAAAGAGAAAAGTAAGATCCTGGATGGACATACAAAGAAGGCAAATTAAGGTAAGCCAAGAGAGAGTGAATACGGGAGAAAAGGGACTTATTAATGAGGGACGGCTATCAAACAGAGGAGTCCTACTAACATCTGTTACCATCCTACATGTAGAAGGATTGTGAAGGTCATGAGAGGACAAAATATTGGAGACAATAGGCATCACGCTAATCTTTCAAAGAGGGAACATTCAACTTAGAAGGAACGAAGAGCACCTGTACACATACACAACCTTTGATGATGAATGGAATCAAGTTTACAAAGAGTGTGGTAGAGGCTGCAGAATATAGTTGATCGCCATAATCCAGTTTCGATAAGATTAGAGCGAAATGAAGACGGAGGTTCATCTGGCTATGACCTGCTGATTTCAGAGAAGTTGTGTGAGGTTTCCAGTATATCTGGCGATCAAACAGAAGACCAAGAAATTTGACTGTATTTCGTTCTGGGATACGGGAACAGCATTACAAACAACAGGGCGTCTTGTAAAAGTAATGTGTGTTTACGAAACAGGAAACTTACTCATTAGCAGTGGCCCTGTGGGAAACACGATCAGTTGCATTCTGGAGAGAGGCTGCTACTAGAAAACACCAGTGCCTGTGGAAGCTATAGAAAAATTGTCAACACAAAGTGAAGACTAAATATCGGTTGATAGCGAGTGGAAAAAAAGGAACATCTTAAGCCTGGACAAAGTCAGGGGAAAACATTAATTTCCACAGAAAAATCTTTCAGACATTAAGGCATGAGCTTGGGCCAAAATATTATATTGCCAGGTAGTGTCATACGTTTTTTCGAGATCAAAAAAGACTGCAATAACCAAGTGTTTATTAGCAGTGGCATTCGAACATAGGTATCATAGCGGAGTAATTGGTCGATAGTGAATAGTTTCTTGCGAAAGCCAAACTGATGAGAAAGACAGTTATGCGTTTCAAAATACCAGACCAAACATCAGTTTACCAGACTTTCTAACAACTTGTAAATAACACGAGTGAGAGCAGTGGGTGTATAGTGAAAGGCAACAATGCCCGAAGTGCCCAGCTTATGAAATGGCAGAACCGAAGAGGAAGAACCTTAACACCAAACTAACTAGAAGACACATATGATGACGACGAGTGTCTTCGGATGTAAATAATCAAGCAAATATAAATGCCATCAAGCCCAGCTGCGGACGGTCGGCAAGTGGAAAGTATTAACACATGTTCACCAAATATGAAAGGCTTATTATAAGATTCCTCTATGCTAGAAGTAAAATCCAAAAGTGTTCTGGAAAAAAGATTGGCAAAGATGTAGCCCCTGAGATATACGGACAATAGGTTCTCCAGTTTCTGTGGCAACCTTAGCAAGGTCTGCACTGCTGATGCCAGCAACCCTGAAAACGGAAGCCGGGTCAGGAGAGTACTGGCCACTCAGTTACCATACTTTTTCAAACTACTCTCTTAGGTGGAGCATAAGAACATAAAGAAAAAGCACTGCAGCAGGCCTACTGGTCCAAGCTAGGCAGGTCCAAATCATATCCACTCATGAAGGAAGGAGCACTGCAGTTGGCCTACCGGTCCAAGCTAGTCAAGTCCATATCACACCCAATCGTGTATTTGTCAAACCTATTTTTAAACTAGACAACGTTTTAGCTGTTCCACTTAGCCACAATTCTAATTCCAAACCAGTGGTTTTTCTATATCCTTGCTAAATCTGCGAGTCCTGTCTTGGTTAGATATTTTTAGCACATTATTTATATCCCTTTTATTTTTTCCTGTTACCCACGTGTGCACCTCAGTCAAATACTCCCTAATTTTACGCCTATCTAGAGAGTGCAGATTCAGGGCCGTCAGTCTATCCTCATAGGAAAGATTTCTGATACATGGGATCAACTTTGTCATCCTTTTTTGAACGTTTTCCAGGACATTTTTTATCCATTTTGTAATGCGGTGACCAGAACTGTGCAGCAATATCTGAATGAGGACTAACCAAAGATGTATAGAGTTAAAGAATAACCTAAGTACTCCTGTTATTTATACTTGATAGGAAGCCGAGAATTTTATTAGCTGTATTACTAACATTTACACACTGTTATCTTGGTTTTAGATTACTGCTAACCAGAACTCCTTAATCAGAGTGATTAAAATCTACATTTTTTTTAGTTTATAAGTGCTGTGGTTAATTTCCTTTGCAATACTTAGAACTTTGGATTTTATTTATATTAAACTGCATCTACCACTTCTCCGATCACTGCGTCAATGCATTCAGATCTTCCTGTAGCACTCTAGTGCCCTCGTCAGAATTAGAGGGCTTATTTTGGTGTCGTCGGCAAATTTGCTGATGATGATAAATTAGACACATGTGCAACTCTTGGGTATCTTTATTGAGGAAACGTTTCGCCACACAGTGGCTTCATCAGTCCATACAAAGGAGAATCTTGAAGAACAGGAGGAGAATGAGGTAATCAGTCCCTCAACCTTGAGTCGATGTGGTCAGTCCATCAATCTTGAATAGAATACGGCATACGTGCTGAGAAGGAGCTTATAAACCGTTGGCAGGAGAGGTGCAGCAGTCATAGGTCGTGTAACATTTGTTCAATGTTGAAGTAGGTCGTGCCCAAGAATTAGGCAAGCGAAGAATTCCCAAGTATTAAGATCCCAAGAAGTTGCAGTGTCTGACAGGTTTGTAGATGAATGGTTCAGAGAACCGACATGTTGATAAATTAGACACATGTGCAACTCTGTGCAACGACTGATTACCTCATTCTCCTCCTGTTCTTCAAGATTCTAATTTGTATGGACTGATGAAGCCACTGTGTGGCGAAACGTTTCCTCAATAAAGATACCCAAGAGTTGCACATGTGTCTAATTTATCAACATGTCGGTTCTCTGAAC